GACTGTTGCAACGATTCATTCACAAACGGACAATTTCACAATCACATCCTAACAAACAACAATTAACATCATTTTCAGTTCAGTTTTTCGGTAATTATTATTTTCATATTTGTTTTTTCTTTAATATTATTTTCTGTATTATTTTTTTATTTTTATTTTTAATTTTTTTTTATTTCTATTTTTATTTTTTATTTTATTTTATTTTTATTTTTTATTCTTTTTTTTATTTTTTTTATTTTTTTGTATTTTGTATTGGATTTATTTTTTTATTTTTTAGTTTTTTTTGATTTTTATCTTTTGAAAGGGTTGACCATGGATTGTTCCGAATAAGCCTAAGCGTTGAAGTTGTTGTTGATGTGATGTTGATTCTGAGTTGGTAGAGTTTTGAAGCGAACGATCAATTTCGACAATAATGTGCTTAATCTTCTCGTTGAGGTGATTCACAGAAATATGAAGTTTGCCATGGCAGTCGATTCAGCAGAAGATATTTCATTTAGTATCCAACAGAACATTTTGAATACGATCGACGATCTCGATTCCAAGGTTATTTGAGCTGATACGATCATTTAATACGGTGATAGCCAAGGAGTTACGATTTCATAAAGTCAACTCCTTCAAGAAGTTCTCATGAGCATACATATTGCTCATCAAAGTAGTGGAACTGAAGTACCCATTGAGACTTGATTATCAGGTACATTGAGTATATGCATTGTTAAGTACATTACGATGCTGATTGTGAATTCAGCAAAGTATTTGAAACATCTTCAATGAAGATACGACTAATCCCAGGTGAGGAGCTGGCTTATCGCCCAATGACTCCCCTTTTACTACTGGGATTGAAAATGGCCAAAAATCATCAGAAAGAAGTTTCAATTGGGCCATATCAATCAGCTCAATCAGCTCGTTCAATGGATTCGAATACAGTCAGAGTTTTTGGAATCAGCAAGCCTGGTCAAAGTCAGAGTGTGAAGTTCACCAATTTAAGCATCGCACAATAAAGCCTTCCGATACGTGTGAGCAGTAGGGCGTTGCGATGGTGCACTCGAATAATACAGAAATTGAGAAGATAAGCACATTAAGCGGAGTGCGATGAAATTATAGCGTCGAATCTGCTAATGTGTAGAATCCAATGGGTGCGATATTGACGGCCGGAACTGCACATGGTGATAAGCATTAATGTATGGCAATACATTTTCAAATACTTATTAACAAAATGCAATAATGATACATTAGTACAATTTTCATTGAATTTCAAAGCTGAGAAGATTCATATGGTAACATATCATATGAATCCTCTCATTCTCCATTTTAAAAATCCCACTCAGATCACTCGAAATGAGATATGAACATCGCTAACGTTATCTCAAAGTGCAGTATTTTAGAATCACTTATTTCGAAAAGATTTCCATCAAAACTTTCAAAATTCCACACCAGAGTTTCGTATGTTTCTCGCTTTTTCAGTTTTTAATCTCGAACGTTATTACTCCAAAAGGGATCTCAGAAATTCGTCTGTGATAAGCAAACGGATTATTATCCCTCGAAAAAATATTAATATCAAAGGATAGATAAAAACCAGTGGTAGAGATAATTTTTACACTTGAACATGATATCAATGTTACATTAACAGAGTTGATGAAATTACACTTATTACATAACAATAGATATATTCGTGAAATCATGAATCAGCATACAGATACCGATTCATAGTTTCACGAACTCACTTGCTTCCTCACCCAAGCATTTGGCAATTCTTCCAGGAAATGGTCAACAAGGCTAACACCCAGTGAATTCAATTAATACTTCGTGGGGTATAGCTACTCACAACATTTACATTTTGGAAGTACGATAATTCCAAAACTCATTGCCACTAAGCCGTCAAAATGCCTGATTTCAGTTTCAATGGTGATTCGCTTTCAACTATGCCAAATTACATATTGTGACATACGTAGAACATATGAAACTATAATATAACAACGAATTAATTTAAATATATCTCTAACAACTGAATATATCAGAAGAAAGTCAGTGTCATTGGCTCATTGTTGACAATACAGACTAATGCTTAGCATTGAAATCACATAGCATTCAGATGAAACATCAAGAAAATAATAATCTGCAGTAATTTCATTCACAACGTTTGAAAAATCATCATACAAGAAGCCATTGACACTGATTTTGGTGCTAAAAGATACAGTAATGATCATATTCGCAATAATGATAAAAGCAATCAAACAACGGATTACGAAGAAACCCCAAAATGGCAGTCAGCATTGGTTGTGTTCTGTACAACGAATCTGATTGGATCATTTTCCCGCGCTGTCTTTGCCTCACTCACTCTAATTCTCCCCATTTGACGAGCTATTCACGGGAATCAGCCCAGGCATACGGTAACATTCTAACCACTCTCAACGTTTCACTCATTTTGATTGGATCAAAGAATTTCACTGATTTTCTCAATATCATTTTATCACTAACACCTCGTTATCGATGTTATCGATTTCAATATCATATAGTGGTATCATTACACCTGTTTACGTTAATATCATTAGTTATCTGTGAAGTAGCCCCGTTTTTATCAGTCTATTCATTGAGAGTGTTCATCTCAAGTTATTTTCTCACCCACAGCATCTGCTTTAAAACAAACATTCAATAGCAAATGATCGTTGTATCTCTCAGTGCTCCTA